GGCGTGCTGCCGTCGCCGCAGACGAGGAGGCGGCGCTCCCCATCTTGCCGCCCTCCTGCACCACCTGGGACTGGTGATGCCATGGACTTGTCGACCTTCTCAAGCGCCTCCCCCTGCTTAGGGCTTTGGCGCGGAGGAGGTGGGGGAGTACGAGCTCGACGGCGTGGATTCGGCTCCCCGTCGTCGCCGCTCACACTCGGAGAGAGGTCGTGCGCCTTTGCTTGCTCGGCCATTAGGCTGAACAAGGGAAACTTGGCGCCCACGGAAGAGTCTGAGAGCCCAGAAAACACACGCTGAGCCCCCTACCTGGCGCGCCAGATGACGGAGCTCGTGGCTCCTCACCGGGAGACCGCGCAGGCCCCCCTTTGCCGGTTCGGCCGGGGGCTTAGGGTGCAATCTCAAGCTCCCTCTCTCTCTCTGTATGTGGAAAGATCGTCCGCCAGTTAGCAAGAGAACGCGAGACGCGGCGATGTATACAGGTTCGGGCCGCTGAGAAGCGTAATACCCTACTCCTGTGTTTTGGTGGATCTGTGAATGAATGAGCTACAAAGTGTGAGCTGATTTCTCCCCCGTTCTAAGCTCTCAATCTGGAAAAGAATCAACCATCCCCCTTCTCTATGGGCAAGGTCCTCCTTTTATACTTCAAGGGGATACCACATACACCCTTCCCTTTCCAAACTGGACTTTTCTTCTCTTTATGGACGGAGATCGGTATGGTTGCCGTCCAAATGACACTTCGATGGGACAGCCCACACCTACCTCCACTCCCGGCGGAGACGGGCGCAACGTGAGATCGTGGCTGCCCGTTGCTGATGCGACCAGTGTCAGACCGGTCATTCTTGTCCACCACGCGTCGGTTTACAACGTGCATGTTTGCCCTTCTTCGTGTAACACCTTGCCTGTAATGGTTAGGATGAAGCCTGGCATAAATCTGACCAGGGCTAACGTGCCATCTCTAAGAAATAATACGCTAGCTCCGGCTTGAGACGAGTGCCTAGAGGCTTTCGTCTTGACGGGATGGGGCAAGGCGTGCGTCAGACCGCCAGTCGCCACCTAACCCTTGATCTGACCGGTCTGTGACTGGTCACAGACCGGATAAAAGAGCGTGCTGTACTGCGTTGCATGCAGCGTGACACGCTTGACCAGACTGCAATAAATGCTGTTAGGTGAGCACAGCTGTGCTCACTTATCCCATATATGTGGCGCAGACTTCTTTAAGGGGTCGGGGTGCCTCGGCCCTCGGGGCCGGGGCAAACGCAACCCGACCCCCCCTCGGGGGAAATCAGGAGGAGGGCGGACACCTCGCCCTCGGGCCCGACGTCCCCGAAGGTGCCAGGCCACGTGGGCGATTGCGTCTGCCTCAAGCCTCTGGTCATGATACTCCCGGTCCCATATCACCGACAATATATATATACATATATATCAGGTGTTGTATATACATATATATATATACATATATGTATATACATATATACATATATGTATATATATGTGTATATATATATATGTATATATATATATGTTTATTTGCGAAATGAAAACTTTTGGGTGTCACATCAAACGTTTGACTGGATGTTGGAAGGGGTTTTCGGACATGAATGAAAAAACTAATTTCATAACTCGCCTGGAAAACGCGAGACGAATCTTTTGACCCTAATTAATTCACTATTAGCACATGTGGGTTATTGTAGCACTTATGACTAATCATAGACTAATTAGACTCAAAAGATTCGTCGCGATTTCTCCCCTAACTGTGCAATTAGTTTTTCTTTTAATCCACATTTAACGCTTCATTGTCAAAGATTCGATGTGATGTTTTTAGGAAAAACTTTTTGGGAACTAAACGGGGTCATAATGTATGTATGTCGCGCATGTGACCTTTGCAAGATGCAAAGTTGCACCGGCAAACATCTATGAAGGAGCATGTGAACCATTTTTCAACATGACAAAGCTAACATGTTCATATCCTCTTTGCCTAAAAAACCATTTGGTAAGAAACTATGGCTGTGTTCTTACCCTAAGTTTCTCAACCCATTTCTCTCGTTTTTAAGGTAAAAATGGTTATAATATGAAACGGGAGGGAGCAGTATACTCTCTTTCACCGTGTGTGTGGTTGGCACGTGGCCGTCCGTCCATCGGCCGCGGCCGGAAAGCGAGCGGTGGCAGGCAGCACGTAGGGGCGCTCTGCTTTTCAGGCCGGGTCGGACTCGGACAGTGGGAGTCGCACGTGCTACCCTACACAACACAAGAGCTCGAGAGATCGGTCCAAAACGCACACAGGAGCAACTCCAAACTGCATGTCTGCTGCCGGTTTCACGTACCGACAGCTTAGGGATGAAAACAGGACCGAAATATGCTTGTACCGTATTTGTTTTTATTTTTTTCTGAATACAAAAACAAATACGGATAGCTCGAATATAAAAACAAATACGGATTATCTTGAATACGAATAAAAATCGAATGTGATCAGACATGAATACGGAAACAATTTTTTTCTCTAAACACGAAAACCAACTCAATTTTTAATAGAAACAAATATCAACATATATAATTAGCTCATTTTATATAAAATGTAGTATAATTTATAAATATTTTAAAATTTTAAATTATATTGATTCTGTGAGAAGTTGGAAGGATGTTTGATACTAGTTCTTTGGTGCCCATCGATCCCACATGCCTGGGATTGATGTACTTGCGTGTGTATGTCTTTGTTCGTTCGCTTCTGTTTGGCTGCACATACCAATCAGCTTAATTGCAACACTGTTCGAACAAGGTAACACTACTGGAATCACATTTTGTTTTTTTTTTTGGAAAACTTATTTTACAAATAAGCCCTTAAAAATACTTATTCTAGAGAAATGGGGCAATACGATAACTTTAGGACAATGCGCTAAGTAAGGTCAATACGATCATTTTGAGAAATTTTGGAGGCCCGCCGATGGTCAACTGGATAGATTAGACATAGGCCCTGTTTAGTCCCAAAACAAAAATTCTCCCACTGTCACTTTGAATGTTTGGACACATGTATAGAGTATTAAATGTAGAAAAAAAACTAATTACACAGATTACGTGTAAATTGCGAGACGAATCTTTTAAGTCTAATTGCGCCATGATTTGATAATATGATGCTACAGAAAATTTTGCTAATGACGGATTAATTAGACTTAATAAATTCATCTCGCAGTTTCCTAGTGGAATCTATAATTTGTTTTGTTATTAGACTACGTTTAATACTTTAAATGTGTGCCAGTATATCCGATATGACAACTAAACCCAAAAATTTTCCCCAACTAAATAAGGCTACAGTGGCCTGAATGGAATCAACATACAAACTCAAGGGCAAACAAAGAATGGACAGAACTCTTTAGCACAAAACGATTGAACGGAAACCCCGGATTTATATATGATGAATTTTTGTCCTATTGTCATATGGTGATTTTTTTTCTTCTATTAAACATCAATTTAACTGGTTAAGATTTACGATGGTATTAAGATGAGGTCCTCGGTGACCCATTATTCCTTTTTTTTAATACCCTCTTTTTACTTAAGGCGAGATACACTCCTAAATAGGAACAAAAACATCAAAGTAATGGCATCAAGGAAACCTATATAATTATAATTGCTTTGTGGCTAGCTAGACCTTAGCTTACCCTCAAGCTTTTTCTCACAAACACCAATGCTTGCAATGGTTGATGATGTTGCCGCTACCATTTCTATATATCCTTTGTTATTTCCTACAAGATATTCCATCCGTTCAGAAATAATTATCATATCGGTTTTAACTTTGAGTTCTGCTATTTTGATAAAAAAAAAATTCAAGATTTGGAGGGAGAGACGTCCCTCCAATTTTTTTTAAAAAAAGAAATTGGGAGCGTGTTGGAGATTAAACATGAGACATCAGGGTTAAAACCACACACCTTTTACCACTACACTATCAAATGCATCTTGTTCACCTATTTTGATCAAGAACACCACAAGCCAGCGTGGGCAACGGCTGGGCTTGTAGTGTAGCTTTTCTCTAGCCGACGTACCCAGGCGAGGGTGGGCGTGATGGAGTTGGGTCGGCCGGGGTGTTCGGTTGATCGGCTTCCGGATTCACCGCGGCACGAAAGGGGGGCTGCCCGTTGCTTGCTGGGGACGGGGGCGAACCCTAAGGTGTGGTGCGATCGGTTAGAGGGGGTTATGCGAAGGGTCCTGTCACGGCCTCTTTCCGGTATGTCGTGGTGGCATGTCGGCGCACGGAAACGTGTCGTGGGGCTGTGTCTTGTGGGTACAGTTGTACACCTCTGATCAGAGTAAAACTATTCGAATAGCCGTGCCCGCGGTTATGGGCGGTCGACCAGATTCACCGTGATTAGTTTCACCCTAGTTAGCTTTTGGAACTGGTTAGTTCAGGTGGTGGTTTGGGCCTGTTGCAACGTGGTGTAACGTTGGACAGTGATTGGTTAATATGGATTAATTACTACAACTGTTTTACTGCTTTCAACTACTGCTTTGAAATGCCGGCTTTATGCAAAAGAACCTTTAACCTCCCTTGGATATATCCTGCATCATACCTCCTCTTCCGGTATGACTTGCTGAGTACAGTGGGTAGTACTCAGTCTTGCTCTCTTTTCCCCCACACCAGAGTTGAAGTCCTTCTCAGTTGAAGATGTCTCGAAGAGGTTGGTTTGGTCGCTGCCGTCAAGGATGCCTGTGGAATGGAGTCGCCCGTTGCAGGAGTCAAGTCTTCAGGCTTAGCTCGCTTTTATCTTTTTCCGCTGCATTTGTAATCTTTTATATTTTTGTAAGACGTGGATCTGTATGTCAACAATTGTCGTTTGTGTACCCTGGCTGGTCCTGGACAGGGGTTTAATGCACATTCAGCTTAGAAATTCTGGTTCGTGAATTTCTGGGCGTGACATCGACAAAGTGCTAAGACAGGAGATTAAGCAAATATTTTTTGAACTACTCTCAAGAGTGAATAGTTAATAATTGATATCCTGTAGGCTAAAATTTTCTATCAACTGTAATTGTAATTTGTTTTCAAAATTCTCGGTGGATGTCAAACCTTGATACTCTTCTAATTTCTAAACAGTTGTCGCGTACTAGGTGGGTGGGAACCCGATATATCAAAGCAGTTCTAAGATCGATACACTCCTGGCATCAACTCGGCATTATATTTGTTAATATTTCTTACATTCCTTTGTATTCCTTCATGTATAAAATCCTCAGCAGGAGAGTGTATATTTTTTCTGTGATTTGGGAGGGAAGGAATGCTTCCTACTCCACATTTTTGTAAAAAAAACTACTCGCACTAAAATTCCTTGGTATAAGACATTTTTTTTTCTATTTACACATATTTCCAATCATGTGTTACATAGAAGGCTAAGGGGAAAGAGTTGGCACATGAAGCTATAATGATTTGGTTGTGCAAGTTAAATCCCATTTTTTTCATTCCTGACTCTGTGTTGATACTGTGATGGAAGATACATGTTGTTGTGCAAGCTAAATCCCACTGTTGCATTTATGCATGGTTAATTGCATTGCCTGCTATTTTGATGTACACAACTTGATTGCTACAGCTTGATGAAATGCTCTGTAGTCTTATGGAATTAATACATGATTTTCAGGGCTTTAGTAATAAATTTGGATCACTAATTTTCCTGATGCTCAGTTTGAGAACACAGTACTGTCCATCTCTAACAATGTACTACGTGTACTGCCCATATCTGCCTTGATAATTTTTTGTGTAACTTGATCAAACATCTACTGTACTATGCACTTGATAATTTTAACCAGTGCCTTCCCTGAGATAGAATTCCAAATATTGTGCAAGGCTTGGATTAACTATATAATATAATTTATGGATATTTGCAGGTTCCTGAGGTCTTCTACTATGCTGAAAAGGCTATGCTTAACCCAATAGCTCCATTGTTTTATAAGAGGCACAATCTCTAAAGCGACGGTTTGTGAGGGCTTTGTAGCAGATATTTAGTCTATGTGACCATGACAGGGAAGCACACAGTGATGTGGAGCTTAATGACTTTCAGGTTTGTATTCACTAGGCTGTTGCTTTCTTTAGTTAATACTAGGCTAAATAGTGCTTTTTATTGTCATTCTGTTATTTTCATTCATGTTAGAGGGATTATATATATGGCAGATTTTGATTGTTTCTTACAGAAATATTCCACATGTAAGATAAGCATGGACAATATATAAGTACGGATCAATTTGGGAAAACTAGGTTGACATACATCTGCACTCAAATTGGCGGTATTCCAAGATTAAGGTGCTGATCAGTGGTCGTATCATGGGATTGAGATACATGTAGTTGTTGCAGTGTATAGTAACTTCGCTCCAGTATGTTTATGTGGTAAATGGTATGTACCATGTCTATTTGCATTTTTTTTATCTGACTACGTTATACTGATTTATGAAATTTGGCAAGTATAATAGGTATCTAAAAATAGATTGGGCTTATGAATTGCGTTAGTTAGGCGATTGATCAATACTAAAATGCTTAAATTTACTGAATAGGGGAGGCTGCGGAAGCCTTCACGATAGAGGCCAGTTCTACATTTCTGAGGTAATTCTTGTTACTTGTGCATTATAGGGACAAGTTATGCATTTCTCCATGCTCAAATTTACATATATGCACTGTTGAATGGAATTTAATTCTGGTGTTTCCGTAGCAATGAAGCCTATTTCATACAGCAAATTATTCCTATATATCATTTCCTTACCGCTCCGGACATATCAGTCTAACATGTTAAATATAAATTTGCTAAAGAATGTGCTTTTGCTATTTCTGATGACATCATATTTAACTTTCAGGACAAGATGGAAGTGGAGCTGTAGGGATGCCATGCACTTCAATGATGTTGCGGCTTGCTGCTTGTTTGCAATTGTTCTGGAAATAATCTGGTAAGTAATGTGAACTAATTGTTTCTACTTGCTAAGTTATACCTGAATGAGCAGAACATTTTGCAGCATGTACATGTTTAATGCCAGATTAATAAAAATGGAGATTGATAACTATACAATTTTGTGCTGTTTTCTTATGCAAAGTTGTTTGAATCTTACAATACGATTCGTCTCGGAATCTACAGAATTCATAACGATGTGGAAAAATCTACAGAATCATGTGAAGATCAGCAAGCTGATGGCGGATGCTTCAATATTTGTATCTACAAATTTATGGACAAATTTATGCTTCAACACAAAATTTATGTAAACCAATGATCACAAATAATATCATCTTTTTGGTTGTTTAATTTGCATTCTCCGTAGCGTTAGCACGGGCAAATTACTAGTTTTTTTAAAATAACCTAACTATTCAGCACCAATATTATTCATTAAATTTGTTGTGGTAAGAAATTTACTAATATGTTACATTCAAATATGTTTGGTTTAACATCATTTGAAATAAGCATGTGAAAGTTCATCTCTCGCTGATCAAAACTAACAAATTTCTGTGAATGGAAGAGTATCTAAGCAACTCTTATTAGTAATCCAAATAATACCTCTTCTAGCATGTTTTTGCTTGCCACCATTGCAGGGCATTTTTGTTATTTTCACTAAGATTTGTCAAATTTAAGGGCCTTTTGATTTGTAGAAAAAATATAGGAAATTTGGAGAACTTCAATCCTATAAAAAAAAATCTATGGAAGTATTTGAAACAAATGATTGAATCATATTCAATCTTTTAAAGTTTATATGTAATGAGTAATCCTATAGAGATTTTGTTGGAAAGTTTGCAAGAATCCAACCTCTTCGAAAAATTCCTTTGAGACTATCTCTCATCCGTTTCATGTGTTTTTCTCGTGGTCCAATCAAATGGCCATTTATGTGTTTTTCATGTATTTTACGATCATTTGTTTTACACTTGCATTTCTATTAGAATCATGCTTTTTTTCTTATTCCTACATTTTTTTTCCATTCCTACGATTCAAAGGGCCCCAAGGCTTATTCGTTTTGGAGGAAAAACAAAGGATTTGGATTCCTAAGGATTAATTCCTATCAGTGGCATTCGGTTTGTAGGATTGAAGTATAGGAAAATCAAAGGAAAATTTTCTTCCCTACAAGCTATATAGAGTAAACTCATAAATTTTCCATCCATTCAAATATCTTAGAAATAATTATATGGCCGGATTGATGTATGCAAACATTCATATTTCTTTATATTTTTCTATTTCTATGAATTCAAATTTCTCTTAACCGAATAAGCCTTCCAAGGAACGAATTCATCAATGGATTTCAAGTACATCGGGAAATCTACACTGTCGACGCATTTTCCTGGTCCGGAATCGAAAGCGAGGTGGCAGCCACCACATGCATCAGCAGCGCATTATTATACGCCATAAAAGGACATTTCTTGGCTTTTCCTCCAAAGGCAGTTCATAATCCACAGCATTATTTTATTCTCTTACTACCTTTTGGAAGATCTTATGTACGAGTACAGCCCATCAGTTTGTTGTCTCTTTCACAAAATTTGACAGATAGCATTGTTCTTCATTTGACGTTGTTCCTCGTCAGGATGTCTGATTTCATATCTTAATTTTTGTAGTCAGATTTTTTTCCCTGAATTAAATCAAACTTTGAATTTCATTGTAATCATGTTTAAGAAAGCTGGAGTAGTACAGTATATCGCACGTAACTATCACAAAAGCGGTGCTTAATGGCATTCTTAGTTTTGAAAAATAAAATATGTGCATGGTACGTAGTTCATATTTATAAGGTGCTGAAACTGTGGGCTTCTGGACCTTAAACTTGTCCGGAAATATTATATGGTCCGTAAAATTATAAAAGATATATTTTGTTTTTTTCTAATCTTAATTTAATATATCACGTGAGTTCTAAATTGTACTCCCTCCGTTTTATTTTAAGTCCAATCATAATTTTCTGTGCATAACTTTAATCGTCCGTTTTATTTAAAAAAATTGAAAAAAATAAAATCATAAGTCACATATAAAGTACTATTCATATTTTATCATATTATAACAATAGAAATACTAATTATAAAAAAATTTAAATAAAACGGGCGATCAAAATTGGGCATAGAAACTTATAGTTGTACTTAAAATGTGACAGAGGGAATTGATGGCAAAGCCAAAGCGCTGACACGCCCATCTACCGAATTTTTTTTATTTATAATTTTTGTATTAAAAGTTTTACAAAAATAATTTTCCATTTTAAAAATTGACGGAAGGAGTCGCCTACCGCCCTCTAGACGCCCTCTCAGAGGGCGGCGAAAATGACGTGGCAGACGGCCGTTCGCTCTCGGGCAACGGCCGTCAACGAAATTTGCAGGCGGCCCCCTTGCCGCCCTCCGCTAGGGCGATTTTATACTGTGCGGGGGGCCGCCTGCAAATTGGCGGCGAGGGGGGGCATGGAATTTTGCAGGCGGCCCCCTTGCCGCCCTCCGCTAGGGCGATTTTGTACTGTGGGGGGGGCCGCCTGCAAATGGGCGGCGAGGGGGCATGGAATTTTGCAGGCGGCCCCCTTGCCGCCCTGGGGGAGGGCGATTTTTGCCTCTCCCCCTATAAAGCCCAGTCCCTCCTCTGTGAAATTTCATTATATTCACTAAAAATCCAAAAAAAACAAAAGAGAGAGAGGGGAGGGCAGCAGAAGGGGAGCGGCGAAGCCCTGCTGGTTCGCTCAATTCATCACAGGTATGCTCCCATACATCTTTTGCATTTGTACTAATATGTTATGTTTGAGTATATATGTTGCGTTTTAGTTTTAGTTCCATATATTTTGGCACATCTGTAGCACACAGCACATATGTGTAGATCCAGAGCATAGAATATAATAGTATGAATTGAGACATAGACAGTAGTGTTAATTGTAAGATGTAGTTTAGTTTGATCTGGAGAATGTAACGTAATTTTAGAAATTTAGAGAACAATATTGTAGAGAATGTAACTTAGGGCGTAATACAGAAATGCGAGGTTAACGCAGTTATTGTTTTCATCAGGCACAATGTCAAGTAAGGTCACATTTCAGATAGTTCACGGTGAAGGAAATATTAGATTTGGTCCAGATGGTGTTGATCTGTCAGATTTTGTAATGACATCTAAGGGCATCGATAGGCCTGCGGAGAGAACATTTCAGTCAATTTATAGTTGGTTGTTGAGAGGATTTAGAATAGACCAAGAAGTCTACACAATGTCAGTGTCAGTTGTAGTGAGTCGTGCAACAGAAGGTTATTTTTGAGAACTAATGCCGATGGACAGCACTGATGCTTGGAGACGGTATGTGGAAATGGCTTTTGAACGGTCATGGCCCCTCGTTATATTTGTGTCGGTACAAGAGAAAGATATAAATGTTTCAATGCAAACCGAAGATGTAGAGGGTCCTATCAATGCAGGGGATGTTGTTGGACCATCGATGCAAAATGAGGAAAATCAACCAAGGGAGGAGCAGGCTATGGGCATGGCGGATGAGGGGGAGAGAGTCGGTATAATTGTTGATGAAATGGAGAGGGAAGATTCGGATAATGAGGAAGTGGACGACGACGCATCATCCGATGAGGAAGGTGATGTAATGGCCACTGATTGGGCAAATGAGGACTTCTCTGGACTTGTTATATCAGAGGGTGATCATGTACCCTGGGAGTATAAGGAGAACGAGGTAATTGAGGGTGCCAGATATGCTCATAAGGATGAGATGAAGGAGGCGGTGAAGCATTGGGCAGTTTCCTTGCAGAGAGAGTTTAGGGTGGTCAAGTCAACAAATTATGTGTATGAAGTGAGGTGCATGAAGGAAGATTGTCCGTGGCGTGTCCATGCATATAAGGGTAAATGGAATGATTATTGGAAAGTTAGCATTGTGACCGAGCACAAGTGCTACTTACAAGGGGTGGAGAAGTATCACCGAAACATCACTTCAGCTTTTGTGGCAAGTGAGATGTACAGCAGTGTTGTTGGTAACATTGGCTTTGAACCAAAATCAATTATTAGGCACATCAAGAACAAATTCAAGTACACCATAAGCTATGCAAAGGCCTGGAGAGCCAAACAAAAGATCATTGAGATGAGGTATGGCACATTTGAAGCTTCTTATGATAATTTGCCTCGTTTGTTAGCCACCATTGCCCAGAGGAATAATAATACGTACTATGACCTACATACATTTACATCGGTTGATGATCGAACAAAGAGTGTGCTGCAAAGAGCCTTTTTCTCATTGGGTGCTTGCATCAATGCTTTTGTGCATTGTCGACCTGTTCTATGCATAGATGGAACTTTTATGACAGGTAAATACCGAGGTCAGATATTGACAGCAATTGGGTGTGATGGGAACAACCAGGTTCTACCTATGGCTTTTGCATTTGTAGAGAGTGAGAACACTGAAAGCTGGTACTGGTTCCTAGAGAGAGTGCACATTGCAGTGGTGCGTATGAGGCCCAACGTTTGCCTTATACATGATCGTCATGCGGGTATGTTGCGGGCTATTGACTACTTGCAGAACGGTTGGGATGAGAAGGGACTTCCAGCTAAGTGGCCTGATGTTCGGAGTCGGTGGTGCATGCGTCACATGGGTGCAAATTTCTACAAGCAATTCAAGAACAAGCATCTTATGGAGCTCTTTAAGAGGCTCTGTGCACAGAACCAAGAGAAGAAATTTAATGAGTTGTGGGACAAGTTGGATGAGTTGACAACGAAGCAAACAGATGAGCAATCTCGCAGACCACTAGTTGAAGGTGACGAGCCTCCCATACCTCTTGGTGCATTACATGATGACCCACCAACAATGAGAAGGAGGTCAGGGTCGTCCATCAGAAATTTCACTCAGTGGATTGAGAATGAGCCTAAGGAGAAGTGGTCTCTATTGTTCGACACCGATGGATCTCGGTATGGCATAATGACAACCAATTTGGCCGAGGTGTACAACTGGGTAATGCGAGGAGTTCGGGTACTTCCATTGGTTGCTATTGTTGAATTCATCCTTCACGGCACGCAAGCGTACTTTAGGGATCGATACAAGAAAATTGGTCCGTCCATGGCCGATGACAACATAGTGTTTGGCAACGTAGTGA